GTTTGTCTAGGAAATTATCTCTCCTATTCTGAATGATAGCCTTCCTGGGTAAAGTATTCTTGGCTGCATGGTTTTTTTTTTTCCCCCTTCAGCATGCCATTCCCTTCTGGCCTTCAAAGTTTCTGTTGAAAAACCACCTGATAGCCTTATGGGGTTTCCTTTGTATGTAACCATTTTCTTTTTTTTGCTGCTTTAAAAATTCTCTTTATCACTACTTTTTGCCATTTGAATTTTATGTGTCTTGGTGTAGACCTACTTGGGTTGATTTTGTTGGGGGCTCTCTGTGCCTCCTGGATATGGATTTCTTTTTCCTTCCCCAGATTTGAGACATTTTCAGTGATTATTTCTTGAGATAGAAAGATTTTTCTGCCCCCTTTTTTCTTCTTCTGAGATCCCTGTAATGTGAATACTACTGCACTTGATGGTTTGCTGAGTTCCCTAAGTCTATATTTATTTTTTATTATTCTTTTTCTCTCTCCAGTTTTTCAGCCAGATTGCTTTTCATTCCTCTGTCCTCTAGGTTGCTGCTCTGTTCTGTTTCCTCTAATCCACTATTTATCACTCTAGTGTATTTTTAATTTCAGTGATTGAGTTCTTCATCTCTGTTCTTTTTTATGTTTGTCTCTTTGTTGAGGGTCTCACTGAGGTCCTCCACTCTTTTCTCAAGTCCAGTGATTACCTCTTTCATCATTACTTTACATTCTCTATCAGGCATATTACTTTTAACCACTTCAATTAGCTGTCTTCTAATTTTGTCCTGTTCTTTCATTTGGGACATATTCCTTTGTCTCCTCATTTTGTCTCTCTGTGTCTGCTTCTATGTGTTAGGAAAGTCAGCTACATCTCCTGCTTAAGGTAGTGGTCCTTATGAGGAAGAGGGTCCTATAGTGGCATGTACTGCAGTGTCCCCTGTTCTCCAGAACCTGGAGCTGCAGGGGTGTCTCCTGTGTGTGCTGCGTGTACCCCACTGTTGTGGCTAAGCCGCTTTTTCCTTCAGACTGGTAGTCTGCAGTGGCTCTTTGCTTGTTGTGGGCAGAGTGTGGTCCTTGTATTGTTAGTGGGCCAGTCCAGGGCAGCCTTGGGCTTGAAATGCATCAGACCAGGCATTTGCCAGAAATGTAGTAGCACCGAACTGCAGAGTGCTTTCCCTGTGTTGTTCCCTGGGAAGCTTTTGTTGGTGAGAGGGACTGCAGTCAAACCAGATGTCCGCCCCTAGCTGGGACCACAGTTGGGACTGCTATATGTGGTGATCATCCTTTCTCCCTTGGCAGGAGTCACTTTGGAGTGGTGCTGGCCCATCAGGTCTGCCTGCACACTGCCAGACTCGTAGCACTGCTATGATCAGCTCCGGTCAAGTGTGTACTGGACGGGCAGGTCTGTGGGAGAACATGGGGACGAGGGTGGGGTGGGGTGTGTGGTGTTAGCAAGGTTCGTGCAGGTCAGCTGTAGGAGGGGATCAGAAGCGTGGAAAGTGGTCCAATCAGAGGTAGGTATCTGCAGAAGAGTGCAGGGGTGGAGCATGCTATTTAGCAACCTAGGTGGAGTGTTCATGCTGCACTGGTTTCCATGGGTGTCTGTATCTAGGCTGCGGGTTGGGGAGGAAATGGCACCCGCCAGCTCTTTTGTTTTTGGAAAAGTCTTCCAAACGTCCCTGCCCCTCCATCACATACTCTGAGATTAGTAAGTAAATCTAGAACTCAGGCGTTTTTCAGACCACTGCTTTTATGCTATATCTCAGGAGGGCTATTTGTTGTGCTAAGAGTAGCGGTCAGTTTCCCCTGACCCTCCAGGTTTTTCCCACAGCTGAGCTGGCCAATTTTTGAAGTCCCGGGTGTGCTGCCCTGCTGATTTGAAGGACTGGTGTAATTCTGCCCCTCTGACTTTCATGTGGGTTCTCTGCCTGGGGTGAGGGTCTGTTTCTCTCCCCTCTGTAGGCCTGAGGCATCCCTCCCTCCTGCAGAAAGTCCTGAGAGTCTGTCTGGATCTTGACCATGTCTCCACCCTTACTACCTGCTTCAGTGTGACCTCTTCTCTGTATTTTGCTGTGGACAGTCTGTTCTGCAAGTCTTTGGGTCACTTTCTGGGTTATTTACACCCATGTGGATGTTATCTAGGTGTATCCTGGGATGAAGTGAGCTTAGGATCCTCCTACTGCCAACATTTTCCTGGAAGTCTGCTGTATTCTTTTTTATAAGTTTCCAGCTTTCTGCCAAAATTCTCAATCTTGTCTTTCAAATAGTATTTTACAGTTCTGTTTTACATAGTTTTCCTTTATATTGTCTTTTGGCTTTTTAAGGTGTGTGGAATGTTTTATTTGAAAATTTACCCGTAAAAAGAATCAGAGGCCTAGCAGTTGGTTTCTTCTATTGTTTTCATTTGCTTTTGAGCTCCTTTTCATATTCTTACTGGCCATCTTTTGTAAAGTGCCTGGTCAGTGATCTTTACTTTTGAAAAGCTGAATTATCTCTTGATTATTAAATAGTGAGTTCATTATATACTATGGCTACATTATACCAGTCTGTGGCTTGTTTTTTCATTGTTTTAATGGTGAACATGAAATGGCAAAAGTTTCAATATTGTTGTGGTCCAGTTTATACAATGATTTAATTTTTTGTGTGTATATAAGGAATCTTTGCCTCTTTCAAATCCCGATATTCTCTTATGTTCCTGTCTTTTTTTCTAGAACCTTCATAGTTTTAGCTGCTGCATTGAGGCCTGTAAGCCACTTCAAATGAACTTTTGTGTATGGTTTAATGTTGGGATCAAGTCTTTTGTTTTTTCCTTTTGTTTATATCTGGTTGTTGTAGCACCTTCCTTTCCACACTGAATCGTACAGATGTTGGTCAGGTGGTTGTGTATGTGTAGATCCATTTCTGAACTCACGGGTTTGTCCCACTGAGCAATTCTTTCATCCTTATGATAGTATACTTAAGTACTGTGGCTTTATGGTAAGTGTTATGCCCAGAATTCGTGATCCCCAAAGACCACTAGGGAGCCGAGTCCGATGCAAAAGCAAAGAGCCTTTATTCGAGCTAGCTCGAGCTCAATCCCCTACCTGCACCGACGCAGCGGTGAGATACCAGGGAAAGAGGGCGAGTTTCAAAAGGACAAAGGTTTTATTGGGGCCTGGGGGCAGTTGGTGAGGTAATGGCTATGGCCTCAGCCGATTGGCTGGGGAAGGGTCCTGGGGAAGGGTCGAGTCCTGTTAGGCAGGTGAGGGGGGGTTACTCAAGGGGAGGAGGTGTGGTCAAGGTGAAGGACACAGAACAAGATGGAGTCGGCTGGCGTAGGCCCGCCCTTTCAGTAAGTTTAATATCTAGTACAATACAACCTCCAGCATTAGTCTTTAAGAATTTGATTTCTCTAGGTCCTTAATACTTTCATACACATTTTAGAAGCAGCCTATTTCTATAAAATAGCTTGCTGGGATTTTGATTGAGATTTAATGGAGTCTGTTGATCAACTGGGTGAAGTCTGACATATTAACAGTCCTAAGTATTCCTATGAACATGGCATCTGTGTCATTGTGTCTTTTTAATTTTCTCTCAGCAAAGTTTTGTAGGTGTTACACATCTTTCATCTTTCGTGAAATGTATTCCTGTGTAACTGATGTTTTGGAATGTGAATGGAAATTGTATTCTTAAATTTCACTTCCCAGTTGTTCATTGCTAGTATATAGAATTCTGTACCTTGTATCCTGCCATCTTGTTACATTTGCTTGTTAGTTCTAGAAATGAGTTTGTACAGGCTTTTGGTTTTCTCCAAACACAGTCCTTCCTCTGCAAATGAGGATGGTTTCATTTGTTTTCCAGTCTATGACTCTATTCCTTTTCTTGCCTTGGCTGGGACTTCCCCCACAGTGCGGACTGGGAGGAGAGCGAGCTGCGGGGGAAGTGCTTCTAGCATTTCAAAGCAGTGGAGGTTTGGCTGCAGATTCCACAGAGGTCCTCACAGATGGAGGAGGCAGCCTCCAGCCTTGGTTGCTGTGTTTTCCATGAAAGAGTATGGAACTTCTCAGCCACTCTCCCTGCATCTGTGGAGAGCATCAGACGGGGTCCTCCCGCGGTGTGTGATTGGGGTCAAGGGGCAGTGACACCCGCCGGGACAGCAGCCTTGCATTTCTGGGGCCGGCTCCATTTGGCTGTGCTTTCTTTGGTTGCTTTATTAGATCTGCCTGCACCTTGAGAGTTGAAGTTAGGCTGTAATCTCTTTGTGGCCTGTTTTCTGTATCCTGGCCATGCTGATCTCACCAACCATCTCCACTTTCTCATCCTCATGCTGCTTCTCCTCTGGGGTGTGGAGGGCCTGCCCTGCCACAGGCTCCCAGGCTGTGGTCTTTACATAAAGGTCCTGACCGAACAGGAGTCCCTTGGGTAGGGTGTGCAGTCACTCACCACTGCATCCTCAGGACTCAGGCCCCACAGGGTCTGCTCTGCGAGGACAGCTGGGGCATAGGGGTGGCCAGGCTGCAGCTTAAGAAGCAAGAGAGGGCACTGGCTGCTTCCTGGCCGCATGCTGTCTCTCTGATATCAGCCATTAGAAGGCATCCGATGACAGGTCCTGGAGACTACTCTCTGCCGAGGATAGAGAATCTGTGGGGACCCCTGGGAGGGGCAGCTGTTGGCAGCCACACATACCTTCCTCTTCTTGTCTTGTAGATGAACGCCACTCGAGCAGCAGTGGGGACACCATGTCTGGCCCCAGCGCCCAGCCCTCTATCTGCCGCGGCCATTCCTGGAACCACCCCAGGCCTGCCCATGCCAGGTACTGCCCTTTCTGGCCTACCAGCCCCGCCCTGTGCGCAGCCTCTGGGCCACTACGGAATCCTGCTCCCAGCTCCAGTGTCCTGGGGGCCCTGGGCAGCCCAGGTGGGCAGCCAGAGACCCGCCAGGGGGCTAGGCTTGGGTGCAGCAGGCATGCCTGCACTTCCCGTGTTCTTGCGGCCACCTGTGGTCAGCGCGCCTGGTCCCAGACTGCGAATCACATAGCTCTCTCTTCCCGCTTGGCCGCTGGAATGCGCTGAACTGAACAGTCCGGAGGAGCCAGCTTATGGCTTGGCCTCTGCCCCGCCTGCCCATGGGTGCCTGGTGAGGGGCCAGTGTGTGGGCAGCAACGCTTGCTTCCTTTACTGCCGCAGACCCTGTTCCTTCTTCTGTTCCCATGGTTTACACTTGCAGCCTTCGCACCCACTTCCTGTACTTGAACTGATGGTTAGAACATTGTAATCTCCCTGCAGAAGTACAGTGCCTTGAATTCCAGCTTTTCTGTTCCCTGATGGAAAGAAATGTTTAAAAAAAAACCGTACGTTGGAAAAGGTGTATTTCATTTTTATAATTGGCTTGTGCATTGATATTGTTATTTCCCATTTTAAATCGCAGAGATAATGGTTTATAAATCTGAAACTAAAACCTGACTTCTGTTGTAAATGAGGCCTCTCTGGGCTTCTGTGGTCACAGATCACAGACAGATGGACACCCCTATCCTCACCCCCGCCCGCCAGCTGCAGGGCTCTGCATGCTGCCGACAGGCTGCCCAGGGACATGTGGTTACTGGAACAGAGTGTTGCTGGCAGCAGTAGGTCTCTTAGTAAGAAACAGCAGCAGCAGCTTTTGGCTGTGCATAGCCTGCTGGAAAGTGCTAGATGAGCAGCCACACCCTCTTGACCCAAAGCCTGTAGGGTATAGGCAGGGCATCCACCCTGCAGAGGCCCCATCGCCCCCTCAGCTCTGGGTTTCTGCTGACCCTCCTGCCAGCTGTTCTTCCTTTTCCATCGTTTCCAGCGAGGCCTGGGTCTCATTCTGCTGTGTGCACACAGGTTGCCCTGCCTGTGGCGTGAGTACTCCCCTTCTGGAGATTTTGGTGAGACTCCTCCCAGATGGGCACCAAATAGCCCCCCGTGGGAGCTGAAGTCCCCGCTCCTCATGGCCAAGATCTTTTCCACTTCCTATCAGAAGGCAGCTGCCTTGGGCTGCCTAGCTGTGAAAACTATATAGTTCTGCTGTACTCTGGGACCTCACTAGACCTGGCTAAATTATTTTAAATGTGTTATTCCATCAATTCGGTTAGAATTGAGTTTCTTAGGTGATTACGCAGGGCGCGATGCTGTAGTAAGAGATTTCTGTTCTCTGTAATGTGCCCCTCAGTCCCTTGGTGGAGAATCTCGTGCGCCTGGGTCCTGGGGGTGGTGGAAGCTGCCTTTCTCCTATGCACCCCCCTCTCCACTGCTGCACCAGAGGTGAGATTTGGGGTCCTGGCCTTGTACGTGGATGGTCAGTGGCACGGAATCCCCAAGAGACTGTATATATGAAGGAGGAAAATAAACATTTTTGCTTGAAAACAGTGTGGAACAACATCTTTTCCTTACTCTCTGCCCACATAAAAGCTGAACCGGCCAGCATCCTAGGCTCTTCCGGGTACAGCTTAACACTCAGCTCCACCCTTGCCATGGACACCTGGCCTAGGAGGTTGGGGTGGCAGTGAGGGGGCCTGGGGATTGAACGGTGGGTGCTGTGTTCCTAGCAGGAGCCACATGTGATGGATGTTGAGCTGGGTCAGGGGGCAAGAGTGGGATGTTAGGCAGGACCCCCGTCTTCTGCACAGGGTGCTCACCAGGTGGGACCTGGGACCTGAGGACCCAGCTTTGCTGCCTCCAGGCCTGTTTGCTCGGCTTTCAACTACTCTGGACTTGAACTGCATGTAGACATGCAGTGGGCTGCACCCCATGGAGGATGTGAGTCTTATCAACTAAGTGGTACCTGACCCCTGTCCGTGTTGGCTAAAGTTGCACAAAGCCAAGTTGGCATGACTCACCCCGTGGACAGAACCGAGGGCGGGAGGTGGGCTCCTCTGTACCTTCTCCTGGATCAGCATTGGGCTCGTAGGCTTGGGAGGTGATGTGAAGCTTGGGAGGTGATGTGAAGCTCGTAGGACCGGTGCAGGTTTGTTGGGGGCCCCTTGTGGCGCTCAGCAGCTATTTGCAGCCAACCCGCCCCTGATGGCATCATGCTCAGCGGTCTGTGCTGCACGTGCCCTGTACACACTCAAGGTTTGCGGTGTCTCTTGCCCCAGCCAGCTGAGAGGCGGTCAGGCTTTATGCCTGTGCTCTTGGAGGGAGGGGGGGAGCCCCCTTTTCAGAAGCAGTGCACCTCAGGGCTGCTGCTTCTCTCACTGTGCCCAAGGAGTGTGACGCTGCAGATGTGCAGGTGCTGCGAAGTCCTGTCTGGTCCTGGGCAGTCACCCCGTGCAGAAGCCGGACAGATGGCAGAGGCTGCCTGGGGCCTGCACAATGTTAGGGTCACGGGCCACCGGCTCTCCCAGGAGTAGGTCTGTGCTGGCAACACTGTTCCACGTTCCAGGGCCTTGTGTGACCAAGTTGGGCCTGTAATCAGCTGTGGCGGTTTTGTTTTCTAGATTCTGAGAGTGAGAAGCCCGACTGAGCCCAGGCAGGCCAGCCCGACCCCGACGCCAGGCCCTGTGTCGTCACATGTGGAGAAGGCGAGTCTGCGCCTCGTGTCCAGTTCACGCTGTTTTGTAACCACTTTCTAAGCATTTTTTATTCACAACTGGAAACACAAATGTAATGCAAGAATAAAGAATATTTTGGGGGAAAAGGGACTTTGGTTTTTCAAGCTCTCTCCTGTCCGCTGGCCGGAGACATGGGGAGAGAGCGAGGGGTGCTAGAGAATCTCCTGGGACCGCGCGGCAAGACAAGGTCTGGGGACACCCTTGGCTGAGGGGTTCCTGGTAGTGAACGTCTGCGTTTACGTGGCACTTTATGGTGCACCTGTTAGCCCAGGGTCCTTGGGTTGGGACAGCAGCAGGACAGGCCACACAGGTGACAGGCTCCCCCCACCACCTGGCAGAGGGGCAGCCTCCTCGTCACACTGAGTGGCACCAGACTCCGGGAGGCCGAGCAGCAGTGCCCATCTCTGGTGACGGCCCTCCCGCTGCATAGATTTGGGCCTTGGTGCACACAGCTCCGTTCATTTTGCTGACCGGTGGTGGGGGGAGGGGGAGGGCGCTCTCCTGCTGTATCTTCAGAGGTTTGACACTCCTCCTCTGGGCACAGGGTGGGCATCCAAGCTACGGGCACTGAGGAGAGGGGCAGGCCTGCTGGCCCCGGCAAGGCTGCACCCCTGCGGTGGGGGGGTGTCCATGAGAGCAAGAAAGATGGGAAGCCTGCAAGCGGCCTCACAGAGAACCATGCAGTGGTGGGACTGCAGCCCGGATGGGGGGAGGGGGCTCAGGTGGAGCCCGTCTCGGGTCCGCACTCATCAGGACCGGAAAGTGGAACTCAGTTTCCATTAACCTTGGACTGCAACTCAGCGCCCCCTTCGGTGGTGAGTGTGGGGTAGGAGCACCTGGGGCATGCCACCGCGAGAGCCTGGACACTGCATATGACGCTGCAGTTGTCACAATGATGTATGTTCACCACAACAAAAGGCCAGCCTCTGAGACACAACTCCTGTCCAACTGGTTGGTGAAAGCAAAGCAGCACGGGCTTTGCAGGGGACATGCAGGTGTGGTTTGGGGACATTCATGGGGACCGTCCACCCCAACTCTCGCCAGCTCTGCATGCCACTTCTCACATCAAGCTCGCCCCGCCCCAGCACGTGCCTCGGCCTGAGTCCCCCACTCTCCTCTGTGATCAAGCAGAGCAGGCACGTGTGCAGTCAGATGGAATGACATCCTGTGTTTCGCTCTGTCTTGTCCCCGTCTGTTTGTGGCCTTCACTAGTTTTCTTTTGGTGGTAGTAATGCATAGTTTACCTTTTCAGGCAGCAGGTTTATTTACATCATTCCTTTTAAACAAGTAATAGTACAGGTGCTAATAGTAAAAATGGTGGGGGCAGATGGCTGATGTTTGGAGACCCAGCAGGGACTCCTAGGCAGTCCTGACACCCTTGAATAGGAGGATCTAGAAGGCCCAGAGGTTCTTTCAGGATTTCTGAGTAGTTAGCACCCAGATTCTTTTCCTGGGGGGGGAGGGTGGTTCTGGGGCAAGGCAAGGGAGACTTTGGGATGCAACACCCGTTAACGCCACGGCTGAGAGCTTACCCACTTTTCCTGATCGGCACCCCCTGCCTTCTGTGATTCCGACCAGTGTCTGCCTCACCCCCACTCTGGGAGAAGTGGGGTTCTGCCTGCAAAGGGGGACTGCCCTCTAGAAGCAGCTCTTGATTGCCATGTTGATGGGCACAGGCGAAAGGATGGGCTGGTGGTGGCGATGAGCAAGCTGCCACCCCAGCAGGGCCCATCATGCCCAGCGAGTCTCTAGACCCCCAGAGTAAGCTCCGGTCCCCCATCTCGGAGTCTCGGATCCCTATGATGGCCGCCCCCAGATGTGGCCCCTGCTGCTGCTCACCGTCCAAGAGCTCCCCACTCTCCTGCCGCCCCAGGACCCCTCCTGGCTCTCTTGGCCCCCAAGGTCTTCAGACCACTGGATTCTGTCACAAGGCCACTGAGAACCTCTCACTAGACGCCGAGACGGGTATTGTGGGTGCATCCCACTCGTCACACTCGGCTTCAAGCCGCTCAGATGTGTCCCGGAACAGTCATCAACGAGAATGAGGACCTGTGGCCCAAAGCCAAACCGTCCTTTGGGCAGAAGCCTGTGGCTGTGGCTGCTCATCACTGCTCAGGGGAGTGGAAAGGGCCTGCCCCAGGTCTAGCACCTGCATGGAGCCCCAGGGCCCAGCCCAGGCTCTCCCAGGACGGTGATGGCACTGTGGTCCGGGGTCGCCCAAGCTCTTCCCGCAGAGCTAGGTGCTGAGCTGCAGGCTCTGCTCCCCATTCTCATTCTGCCCTGGAGAGCACCCCCAGTCTGCTTTCCTGCAGTGCCTGCCACAGTCCGTATGCCTCCACTCTGTGCATCTGCTCCAGATTAAATTAGCTTAAGCTCTGAAATGTGCATCTTATTAAACAGCTGGCTGGTTCTCTAGACCTGGGAAAACCCAGCAAGACAAAAGAAAGCATCCCCCAGGGTTCCAAGCAACCCTGGCTATGCTATTCTAGCACTATGGTCCTAAGTCCTAAGTAAGTCTGTATTCTAGTCTGGGAGCCCAGCCTTGATTTATTATGTGTTTCTTTGGAAAACAATGTCTCTCTGGCTGCCATCACAGAATACCAGATGAAGCAGCTTAAACAAGAAACATGCATTACCCCCGGTTCTGGAAGCTAGAGTCTAAGATCTGGTGTGGGTAGGACTGGTTTCTCCTGAGGCCTCTTCTCTTGCCATGTATGCGTCTGCCCTCTTGCTGTGTGCTCATGTGGCCTCTCTGTGTGCATGTGAAAAGACAGTCAACTCTGCTCTCTCCTAATGATGACATAATCCTATCAGATCAGGGCCCCACCCTTAAGGCTGCAGTGGACATTATTACTTCTACAAAGGCCCTATCCCACATGCAGCCGACTGGGAATTAGACCATCAACGTATGAATATTAGGGAAACATAAACATTCAGTCCCCAACACATGGCTTATTAAGCTGTTTTGATATACAGTCCATTTGTACAATGGAAACTCTATTGTCTCTACTTGCACACATTTTTTAAACTAAAATTATATAAATACCAAAAATACACATGCACACACACACACACACACACACACACACACAGATGAGGGGGTGGGGGGGTCAAGATATATTTGTGGCAGAAAACTGAAAGGAATCACCCACTGCTCCCTTAGTAGGCTCGCACGAGCTCTTGAGAAAATGGGGCTGAGGATCCCTCCTTAACCCTAAGGCATCAGCATCATGGACTGGAGGACAGTAGCCAGTGGTGAACACACAAGGCAGGGCTGGTCAGTGCACCGACACTGAGGGCCACAAAGCTCTTGGTTTAGAACTCAAACGCACAGAACCATAAGAGAGAGGAAAAGGGGAACAAAGAACAGACGAGGTAAAAATAAAATTGCAACATGATAGGCCTAACCCTAACTATATTTATACATACATTTTGTAATGGTATGTAAGGGATCTGATCACTTTAATAAAAAGAAATTGTCAGATGGATTAAAAAATCCCAACTACATGTTGCATACAATAATCCTAGTTTAAATATAAGGGCATATAGGTAGGGTAAAGGATTGGCCAGGATATACCATCTTAATATCAATCAATGAAGTGACTATTAAAATCCAACAATGCAGACATCAGAGCAAAGCTTATTATGCAAGCAAAGATGATCATTTCATAATGAAAAGGGGTCAACTTATCAAGAAAACCTACAATTCTAAACGTTTATACTACTGATAACAGAGCTTCAAAATACATGGGGGAAACACAACTGCAAGAAGAAACAGACAAATCCACACTGTTTCAATAACTGATAAAACAATAGAACATCACTGTAATAGAGTCTGACCCCATTTTGGTGTATGACTTCTGACAGCTTTTAAGCCCCACTCTCCTCATTGTGGGCACATCTGGACACCAGATGCGAAGCTCAAGTGCTCTCTCCTTGGCACCGTGGGAAATTCATACCAGGAGTGGAAGCCCTCATTCTGACCCTACCCCCTAACCGCCATCAAAACCCCAAGCTAGACTTGCAAGAAAGATGGTAGAGTAGGAGGATCCCAGGTTCACCTTAATCCAGGATACACCTAAATAACACCCACATCAGTGTAAATAACCCAGAAAAGGAACTGAAGACTGGCAGAACACACTCTCTACAGCTAAATGCAGAGAAGAGGCCACAATTAAGGGGAGGGGAGGAAGGGCAGAGAAGTGGCTGGGAGCCAAACAGACCTGTGGAACTGTCTAAGGGATGGAGGGATGCTATGGCAGGGGAGAGGAGCAGACCCCACACCAGGCACCCCAGGCATGGGGGAACTGCATGAGGAAGATGAGTCCCCACAACATTGGCTTAGAAGACCAGAAGGGACCTAACTTCATGAGTTATTATAACCAGTGGGGCTTAACACCTATAAATTTAAAAAAATCAGCAAGATCAGCTCTGGTAGAGCAGGAGGGCATCACATGCACTATGTTGGCACTCTCCTGTGGACCTGCCCTCCAATATGCCCTTGGCTGGAATCCATCCAAGTAGTGCTACAAGCCTGGTGGTGTGCAAGCAGCCCCAACACAGGCCAACATCACTCCAAAGTGACTCCTGCCCAGGAAATGGGACAATAACTACAACAGCAGTCCAGTTGTGTCCACAGCAGTGGGCTGGGGTCAGACAACTGGTCTGACTGCAACACCCACCCACTAACAAATGCTTCTTCAGGGAACAACACTGGGAAAGCACCCTGCAGTTTGGTGCTACTGCAACGCTGGCAAATGTCTGGTCTGACTCAACACAAGCCCATAGAGGCCCCGGACTGGCCAACTAACAACACAGGGACCAAACACTACCCAAAACAGGTAGAGAGAACCACTGCAGATGACTGGTCTGAAGGCAGAAGTGGTTCAACCACAATAGTAGGGTGCCCACAACACACACAGGAGACACCCCTGAAAAGCAGGTTCTGGTGAACAGGAAACACTTCATCAGAGGGCACTACAAGACTTCTTCTTGTATAAGGCCACTACTTTCCACAGCAGGGCGCACAGTTGACTTTCCTAACACATCAAAACAGGCACAGAGATTTAGACAAAATGAGCAGACAAAGATATATGTCCCAAATGAAAGAAAACGATAAAATCACAGCAATAGAGCTAAATGAAACAGTGATAAGAATATGCCTGACAGAGCATGTAAAGATCATAACAACACTCCCTGGACTTGAGAAAAGAGTGGAGGTCCTCAGTGAGACCCTCAAATAAGAGACAGAAAACATAAAAAAAGAACCAATCAGAGATGAAGAACTTAATATCTGAAATTAAAAACACATGACCGGGAATAAATAGTAGACTTGAGGAAGCAGAAGAATGGAATAGTGACCTAGAGGACAGAGTAGTAGACAACAATCAAGCTGAACAGGATAAAGGAAAAGAATAATAAAAAATGAAAATAGACTAGGGAACTCAGTGACACCATGAAGTGCAATAACATTCCCATTATAGGGATCTCAGAGGAAGAAGAGAGAAAGGGGGGAAGAAAATCTTTCTATCTCAAGAAATAATCACTGAAGACATCTTGAATCTGGGGAAGGAAACAGGAACCCAGATCCAGGAGGAACAGAGAGCCCCCAATAAAATCAACTCAAGTAGGTCCACACCGAGACACATAAAATTCAAATGACGAAAAGTAGTGATAAAGAGAATTTTTAAAGCAGCAAGAAAAAGAAAATGGTTACAAGCAAAGGAAACCCCATAAGGCTATCAGGTGGTTTTTCAACAGAAACTTTGAAGACCAGAAGGGAATGGCATGCTGAAGGGGAAAACAAACAAACAAACAAACAAACAAATGCAGCCAAGAATACTTTATCCAGGAAGGCTATCATTCAGAACAAAAGGAGAGATAATTTCCCAG